CCTTTCAATTTGTAAATACAGAGTGCTAAAATGTGAAATGTATCTGGGTCAGCATGAATTCTGTTTAAAGGCTTTATTTGTGCAGTCAGCTGTGAGCCAAAACTGTTCCTTTAAAAGCCTGCTGCCCTCAGCCATAATGAACAAGTGCAATGTCCAGATGTGCTGTCAAACCGAGCGGCTTGTCAGCTCGACTGGAACTATTAACGGAGCTCTGCAGGCCCTCAGCCCCGCCTACTTTGTTTCTGATCCCTGTGATCCGACCCTAGTAAATTTCCCCAGCGCCTTTCTCTGTCCTACACATGTTTAGCGAAAGTACAAAACCTACACACACGAGCAATCAAAGCTGGCATAAATCATTTCAACACACTTGCCGGCTCACCCACACCTCGCTGGTGCTCAGGACTTTGCGTTTGCTCCCAGAACAGAGGGATTCATCAAAGGATGGACTGAGCGAGAGCTGCTCTGCGGGAATGCGGGTCCAAGCCGGTCTGTAGCTTTCTGTAGCACCTGCAGATTTTTTATTCATGTACTTTCATCCATGTAGGAAACACTGCTGTGAATTTTAAGAGGGATCCACCTCAGTATATTCTAACCCCTGATGAGAAGACTGATACCCTCTCATGTCTTTTAAACAGCTAGTCCCGGCCAATCCAGTCTACTAAATCTAAAGTGATTGTACTGCAGTACAGCAGCAGCTTGACTCCTTATCACACAGTCCTTACTCAGTATATTCTTATTTTTACATTATGTACAGAATAAGGATTGGATTGGTTTACTTGATAAACAACATTTACAGGGAGGTTTAAAGTAATTTGTATCTTCATTTGAAAAATAATTATTTTATTTTATTTTACAGACACTTCATTCAGTTTACTATTCATTTAGGTTTAGACTCTAAACTCAAGTGAATAGTTACGTAATAGTAACTCTAAACTTTAGAGTATTATATTTCCACTATAACCAACTCCTGAAAAGATATGGAACATCCATCCATTATCACATAACCTCTTATTCCCTTATGGGGTTGTTGGGGGGACTGGAGCCTAACCCAGTGGTCAATAGGTGAGAGGCGGGGTCCATCGCAGGGCCACACATATAGACACAAGGACAAACAACCCCGCACACTCACACTCACTCCTAAGGGCAATTTGGAATGTCCAATCAACTTAACATGCAGGTTTTTGGATGGTGGGAGGAAGCCAGAGAACCCGGAGAGAACCCACGCAGACACAGGGAGAACATGCAAACTCCACACAGAAAAGTCCTGGTTCCCCCGGGACTCAAACCCAGAACCCTCTAACTGTTTGGCGATGGTGCTAACCACCACACACCACCATGCCGCAAAAAACAATTTAACAATTTAAAGCTAAGGGTAAGGTTCCACTTTCAGTCACAGCCTTTTCCGATAAGTGTGCCACCCGTCTTTCAGCATTTGTCCGTCACAGGCAAAGTGGTCTCATCAAACTGCACCAGCACTAATACAGGATGAAAATTCACTTGCGAAAGAGGTGGTACCCATTTTTTTCATAGAGCTTTTACAATCAATAATGTAATGCAGCCGCGAGACATTTCGTGTTTTGAGCAAAGGGGTTTACATCTGCTGTAAAACCTCCCTGAGCACAGATTTTAATTTCGGAGAGAAATGAAAGAAAGGTAGGAAATCATGACCTGAGGTGTCGCTGAGGCAGGTTGTGGGAAACAACACTGATGGCATGCTATGTGCCTCAGCAGGATTCTCATGGTAGACATTTTCTTTGCTCCTCCGCCACTTTCAGCCCGGAGACCACGCTATTGTCTGAGCGCCTGTCAGCGTGTGATGAAGTCCACATGATGTAAAGGTTGTCAGCAGAAGGTGTGCAAGGCTGTCTGTGGATGACTGCTCACAGCAATGTGTTGTGACCATGTTGTGACACGTCTGTCTCCCAGACAACACATTAACAGGTCTGTAGTGCTCGCGGGTGTCTCTGTATAAATGGGCTCTTCCAATTTGAAATAAGGAACAGAAAAATGGAGCTCTTCTAAGGAAGGAACTAACGGTTTTTACTGTGCATTTTTCAGGAACAGTCTAATTACCAGTTAAGTAAAAAGTGAGCCACGTCAAGGATTGCCTTGACAAATTGTTTGTTTCATTGTTTGATTAAATACTTATGTGACGAAGAGAATGACAAGGTATAGCTGTAGCCAAGCAGTACATATACAAGTTTTATTGGTTAACTGTTGATTGTTATACTGAGGGCACGCAACATACTACCGTAATATCACAGTAATAACTATTTAATTAGAAACGTGTCATGAGCTAATGGCCAGCTCATGATTCAGTGACAGAGAACCTCTGCTCTCTTTTATCTTTTCATTAACATCAATATCGGTGTCCTTCAGAAGTACTTACCAATGTGTCATTGTGTATTTACTTCCTGATTTGATTCTAAGTGCTTTTTTTCATGAAGTAGTCATTAACAAACACATATGTATTGGTAGAGACTTCATTGAGCAGTTAGTTCCCCACTTGTTCCTAATTTGCTTCCTGGTAACAACGATAAAAAAGCTTTTAGGTATCAATTCGGGTCTGTGTAAGGTTAGGACATGCTGGACAAAATTAAACATAAACAGTTCCCGTTTTAGGCACTGATGAGAAGTTGTTCCTAAGAAAAATGTGTTTTATTTAGCTGCCCGTGTTTCCCTGCAGAACTCACATTCTCTTTGGACAAGCATCCCTGTCAGCCGGTTGCATATATGTAGCATTCTTGTCAGCTTGAACAAGTCTTGCCATTTCCATCGACCCATCACTTTGAGGTGGTTTTGCTGTCAAGTCTGCATGTATCTCGTCCAGTGCAGCACTCATTCTCTATTAAGTGCAGACCCCCAAGTGTCTATTGCACAAAACTCTCATGAGAACAGCTGTCTCTGTGGATGCTGGAACTGGCACATCTATCGCCAGCCATCAAACTGTGTGCAGAGTCCCATCATGTGCCTTGTCCTCTCAGGTTTAATCAAAACCAGATCCCTCCTCGCTGTCTGCATGGTTTCTGCGCCACACCTACATTACTGACAGTCTGCAGAGGTGAGGCCTGTCATAAACAGGAGATAAGCTCACATACCACTGGAAATGGGATGCTTTTATCTGAATAATATGTGTACGTCATAACTTCTTATTCAGGTATAGTTTCCGTGCTAATATTCTGTTAATATTGACTGTCACTGGTGTCCCAAGGCTCCAGATACAATCTTCATGTGTTATTCTGTTATGTCACCGTGATCTTTGAATTCATCGAAATGCACTTTGGAGAGCTTGATAAAAGGAAATGAGACTGTGTAGATCTGAACAACTGCGCAAAGAAGGAACTACATTTGGGAGAAAATTAGACAAATAGAGGGTAAAAAAAAGACAACGTTTTTCTCAAATGATGGACAATATATCCTTGGGTTGCTGATAAATGTTGAGAGAATCTGTCAAGAGCAGGTCTCTTCTGGAGCACTTGAAGACATGTGAAGAGCTAAAGTGGGGAAAAGAGGAAAATGGAACAAGTGAGGCGAAATCAGATTTTTTTTGTCATTGTGTCCTTGAAGAAAGAGAGAGATGGGGTGAAAGACCGCAGCATGCAGTAAAGTGAGGGAGCTATTGAACCAGAAAGCCTTTTTTCTACAGCCGTAATCAAAGTATCCTCCCCATGCCATGTCCTCCTTTAGCCTTCTGAGTTTTTGCCTCTGCTTTTTTCTCTCTGTCACACACACACAGACACCCTTTCCTCCTCCCTTACACATAAATATATAACCATCTTCTCCATAGTGACAGAGCTCATGTTAGATCAGATTAACTCTCACAGCTACAGGCGCAAAGAGGCAGTCGGCACTAGAAGCCAGGTCCTAGTCACACACTTCCAAGTGTGGAGGAATACTGTGGGAGATGAGAATTTCTCCCCTGGCAGAAGGAAATGTGCTCTCCTCTCCAGCACCTGTGAATTTACACTCCCTCTCCTTGTGTCACTTTCTAAGAGGCCTCATTGTAATAGCATGTTTCCCCTTGTGTTTCTACTTTTCTTGCACGAAGAAATGCTGCCACAGTGCCATCCTCTTTGATGGACGAATAAACTAATTCTGGAGAACAGGTTCATAAGCATCATGCGCTGCAGTGCGGAGCACTCCTCCCCTTGTTGTCTTAGTCCTATTTGGATGCAGCCTGGGCATAACATAGACAAATAAAATACATAAAAGGAGAGGCAGTGAAGCAAAGGAAGAACAAAAAAGCAATGTCCTTTCATGCTTTGTCAGAAATGGCTTGTTTGGATTGTGGAGAAGTGTACCGTACAGCCTGAGTTGGTTCCACAGGAGTGGTGCAGTGAATAAATCCTGAATCACTTTTAGAAAAAACCAAAAACAAAAAAGAGTACATTGGGGTTTTGCCCTGTTTGATGAATTTGTTGTTTGAGGTGTGACTAACTGGAACTTTGAAAAAATAATTAATTTTCCAGCAGACTCAGGAACTGCTGAAGGGACACAGACAGCAATCTGTCATTCTTACATGAATGGAATTAATATAAGAAAGGTTAAACAGTTTGCTGTGTACTCGCTGCATAAAGGTTCCTAAAATATATGACTGATGTTTAAGACTTGTGATGGAATCATAATTGATAACGGATGTGTGTGCTATAAGCTTTGTTAGTAGTCAGGGGCTATAATACATTATTGATCAAGTCCCAAAGGATCTTTTGAACTGAGAGGAGGAAAGAAAGATCACATGTCAGATAAAGCTGCCGATGGAGCCTTCAATCAGGGGATATAAGGCAAGCTAGCAGGTTTTAAGAGGATGGTGCTCACTATTGATTCAAAACTCACGTACACGCTGTTGTACTGAGTAACAGCTCAATATTGGACTATTATAGGAACATTTCCAGCTTTCAGTACTTGTATGCATGGGCTACCTTAAATAAACCATTTTTGGTTTATTTAAGGCAGTCAGACCGAAAAAACTAAATATGAAAATAAGCCACACAGACATAAGACACTTTCTGTACACTTTATTTACAAAATGTATTAAAATTCTCTGTACAGTGCCCCTCTAATGAGGTTCATCAAATTATGCATGCATCTTTTGCTCTTTTGTACCCACTACTGTGCCTGGTGATTTTTGTTACTACAGAAAGTGAGGCCTGCTGAACAGAAAGAAAGTGAAACCATTTACAAAAGAATTAACAGAGCTTGGCTTTTAATACTAAGGTCAGATTGTGAGTAACAGAGCTCGTCAAGCATTGCTGATTTCGCATGCAGTTTCTTAGAAAAAACAAAGAAAAGAAACAAAAGGAACAAAAAAACAAGACAGAGGGGGAAAACCGATCTGTCATCATATAATATAAATACTTCTCATTCATCTAAATGTACACATTTCTCTTTCTGCTCTTTTTCTTCACATTGTCTTTTTATTTTCATATATAAAACTATCGGCCCATAGTTTCAGGTGATTAGATAAGTATCTTCCTAAATCCTATGGAATCACAGTTTTCATGAAAGAAATGCTTACAGCAAAATGGAAATGGGCTAAGCCTCAGGACTTGCCCCAGTATAACCTTGTATAAATCTATTTCTGTTGTATTCATATGTTTTTCATTTTCATTTACTAAGTGAAGTCACCAAACACTATATTTTTCATGAATGGAAATCAAATTAAAGGCAAACCACAGCTTGTAAAATGTGCAATTCTCAAAGAAAGAAATGTAAGAGAATCCAAAAATCTACAGTTAAAAAGCCATTACTGTTATCCATTAATTGGACTGCAGTTAATCTACAATTAAATTACCCTTTTTGTTTGTTTTTACTTTCATGTAAAGGAGATTTGAATGACTTCTGGGAAAGATTCTCCCTCGATATTTTACAAACTGCAAATCACAAACAAATTTTCCTGACTCAGGCTTTACACACTCATCACACAAAACACACACTTGGCAGTATTGGAAGTGCGAATCATGACCTGGTCCTGGAGAGTCTGTGCCAAACCAGACCATCCTCTCTTCATCACAAGTCCCATCCAACTCTCAGAAGACAGCGGCAGCAGCACCAGAGTTCAGAGTACAAACAACACGCATCTTTGTTTTGGGCTGAATGTCTCCGGTGAAATAAATCTATCTTTTACACTAAGTACATGATCATTAGTAGTGACTCACAGCAGTATAAAAGCAAATATTGAATAATCAGTGTCTTACAGTGCACTGAGTGGATCTAATAAAATTATTTGAACACACAGAACCAGTGAAAATCTGGTAGCAGGATGAAGAGTAATCTGGTCATATTGATAAAAAGAAACCAATTAGATTTGTCTTGCTGGCACTTCAAAATGTGCTTAGTTTGCAAATGATGGCTTTAAGTTCTCTCATTCGTGTTAGATATACACACACATACAGACACACATATATACATATATGTGTATAGGAATATATGTATGTATGTATGAATATACTTTTCTTCTATTCTTCTATTTTGTATGAGTTTCAAGCAAAAAGCAATATCATTGTGAATGAGTTGCATTGATTGGACTCAGAGTTTCTTAAGGCACTGAGAGGAGGGAACCTCTTGGGCTCTTCCCGTGACCAGTCCAGTCGTGTCGTCATTGCAGATTATCGTGCCATGTCCACCCGAGAGGATTTGGCTTGCAGCACAATCCCCGTGATCCTGTGCCTTGTTTTCTTTAGGTGTTTAGTCACAGTTGTAGAGGACAGTGGAGTTGTATCGTAAACCTGTTCCGACATAAAGAGCAGAGACATGGGAAGAGCGTGGATACTGTGTTAAGTCTTACATCTGCAACAATAGTGACCTAAGCGTCAATAACGTGTGACTTCAAGGATTGTATTGTGTTTTAAAAAAAATCTCATTCTTTGCTGGCTTTAAGACCTTTCCAATTCTCTTTACTACATCATAAAGCTACAAAAAACGGTACTGCCATGGTGTGATTAGCATTGACTGACTGAGTTCAACAAATGCAAACTCCCTTGTTTTTTACTATTTGACATACCCCAACCAAGTCCCGTCCACTTCCAACTAGTCTGGAGAGCACAGTACAAAGTAGAAAAAATGTGTCCGTGTAAAAAATCAAAGTCTTTCTTAATAAGAAGAAAACCTTGTTCAGTTCCTTGAAGTTAGAAGATGAAAATGGCTTTTGGAGTATATGGACATGTCACACACATTTAAGAGGAAATGCACCATCAATTCAATCAAAAACAAAAGGAACCCTTTATTCTTTTTTATTCTTTGTTCAGTTCACTGTTATTGTATGAGTTTCCACAAGTCTCTAATGACCTGCTTCAGTGAGTTTTCTATGGGAATATTGATTGTTATTCCTTTGTACATTCTGTAATTCACACGGTTAAAAGTTTCAGTGTGTTCTGTATGATGTGTTTTCTGTTTTTGTTCAGATTTAGCTTATTATGGTAGGCAATTGTACCGGCATTGGGTTAAGTGACAGTGAGTAATTGGACAGAGGCCATTCATGGTGACCAACCTACCAGCGGTATTATAACCCATTGCTCCAGTTCTGTAGGGGATTTTAAGCCTCTTTCAATTCACATTATTTTACATTTTGCTCCCAACAGTTTCACCTCAGGTGTGTGACTGTTTTCCTTCAGTCAGACCAAGTGAACAGCCAGGTGGAGAGCACAGCTAGGAAATTAAAATTAGTGGCTTCAAGGTTGAGTAAATTTTGAAAAAGGCATTTATTGCCTGAAAGATAAAATTGTTTTTTATTTTATTCATCATTGTAAAATCCTTAAGAGCAGAGCAGGGTATCTTCAATTTAAAGAATAAGGGATAGTTCTACTGAGGTGCATGGGTCATGTTTAAAAGTCCAATATGTACCCTGTGCATAAGTTATCCTTACATTTGGAGTTATTTGAATTATATAAATCATGTCACAAGGCACAACAAGTGTATCAATTCTGTACTTTAGCTAAATATATCTTTTGTTTAGTACAATATGAGATCTATAAGGAATGTATGGGAGATACAGCTGAAGAGAAAAATTCAACAGGAAGCCCACGTACCTCTAGATCTTAACACTCTCAGTTCCATAAACGTTGTAGCCTTCTCTGTATGTGGCAAAGTTCTGGGTGTTGGTCGGGGGAGCCGGCTTAAAATTCTGGGCATTCTTGGCCAATTTAAGGCGCTTGGTTTCTTGTCGTGACTTATAACAAAACTCTATCAGAGCCACCATCATGGCCAGCCCCAGCCCGCCAACCAGAATATAGAAGACACCCGCCACATTGCTTAAGCTGAGAGCACTTGTCTTGTCCTGAGAGAAAGTGAATAACAGAGTTAAGAGATTTGCAGTGGAACAGGGGCAACAGAACAAAATTCAGTCTATTCACTGTCCTTAAATCCTAGCCTTACATAGAAGAACTGATTTATTAGTAAGTTATTGTACTTTTAAATTTTGGATTCTACCATTGTACAAATCTAGATATTATAGATAGTTAATAGTTAAATAAACTATATAATTATAATAAATGTCTCCATTTTGAGATCATTAAGTATTCATCAATCAATATGAAGCAACACTAAACAGACATCTAATGAGGTAGTAAGGCTATCTTTTGACTGAAGTGATTTTCCTATGATTATCATAAATTAAGAAGTGTCAGACTATCTAAATCATTCTCCATTGAGGAAAAAATGAAGCCAACACTTTTTTACTTATCTGCTGGTGAATGTAGAGCTCTTTTTATGTCTAAAGCTACATACAGATATATATAAAATGGCTTCTGCTCTTGACCATATAAGGAAGCTGGTCAGTATCGCACAGGTCGACAGCTCTGATAATCCCTGTCTGTTCAGTCTCTTTAGCGACGTGTACGTATAACTTTCAATGCAACACTGTCATACAGTACAGTCAAGAGTATAAGTAAATGAATGATAGCTCAATTAAAGTTAAGAAACACTAAATATCAAACCATTTTGCTGCTGCATATCTACCTAACGTATTTATTAAAAATTTGTTCATTAGAGTTTTACTTTTTGCAGTTTAACCCCATGAGGACGAAGATACCACAAAGCTATCTAGCAACTCTAAACTGTAACCTAGAGCTTTGTCCGGATCTCAGAGGGTTAACTAGTGGGTTTATTACATTCCTCCACGTTTTGGGATGTGCAAACAAAGCCTCCAAACCGCCTCTCAAAGCAGCCGCAGGAATTAGAGAACACCCTGTGGTGCTCTCGCCGCTCGCAGAGGCTGAATTTGCGTAGCTCATCACAATAAGAGGGTTTGCTTGTTCTTCACACCACAGGAGGTCAAGGAATGTAATAGACACATCTTGATGCAAACTAGTAAGAACACAAATAAATCAAATTTTCATTAACAGTTTGGTAAATAGAAACAGCAGCATAATGGTTCAAGAATCATGAATGCCAAGAATGAAAATGAGCAAAAACAGCATTTATCAACAAATGTTAACTGCTGTGATTCAGTTATTATGATATGTCTAAAAGGCACTTTTGCAGTATCCCCGCAATGTTATCACTACAGTTCTCACAAAATGATCAAATAAATTATTAAAAGATAGTTTTTACACTTTTAATTAATCAGAAATTGTCTCCTTTCTTTAACACAAGGTAAGAAACAGTGTGTCTGGGGAATCGGTGCCTTAGATCAAAGCCACAGGGAAACTGCGTTACAGTTTGTGGCAAAACTTGTGAGACACTACAAAAAAGAACAGTTAAGTGTAGCATATAAACAGAATGCATACTACAGATGGTAGAGAAATTTTGTCTTGCATATGAACAATACGTCAAAATGCAATTTGGAATCAGTACAAAAGACCTGCAGCGACTGACCTTACTTCCAGAGTCCTTGGTTCCACATTCACCCTTATCGTACCACCATTTGTTTTTCAGCTTGTCTAAGATGCCTTGTTCACTGAGTTTCAATACTGCAAGGTTTACAGGAGTTCTTCACGTGGGAAATAACATAAATAACATTATATTATGTTATTTTATGTTATTCAACTTTTAAACTACTACATACTTTACAAAGCGATAAAGCAAGGCCCCTGGCTGTGTCAACATCACAATGAGCAGGCATTCTACCTTTTACCTTTATAACCCCTAGTCTAAAGCCAGGACCTACCCATATCGCTTTGAGTAATCGGCAGACGCTGTTAACAGGGCGACAAGCAGGTACTGGCTGTACAATCTGCATGTCTTTTGAGTACCATAAGATATATACATGATGGGGAGATACATTCATTTGGGGCATTTAGGGGCAGGTAGGCACAGTGGCTTTCAGCAGCAGTTCATTCCATCAGGAGCTTTGTCTTATCAAACAGAAAAATCTTAACATTACATTTCATATCTATCAATGTACATTGTCAGTTAAATCCTGTGGTGGCGACCATTCCAGTGACAGCAATCACTTCTGGCAGTGTGACAACCAATTTCAGATTTAATAACCAATGCCCAAAAGTGAAAGCTTAATTAATTCTTGCTTGTTCCACTGCAATATATCACTAAGAAAACCTTATCTTCCAATTAGGGCAGATTAGTGCCAGAGAAGTGCTTCGGGCTGCAGGACAAAGCTAAAACGTATCTGTGGAATATTCATTCCATGGTTGCCTGCAGGTGAAGAATCAAATGTGAGTTGCGGCTGTTTCGTATGTCTTTAGCTTATTACATGGCTTAATGTCAACATGAATTATCCTAATATTCCTTTGCACTACTTCAAGAGAAATTAAATGCTATTTCAAAATAACTAAAGATCACATTGTGCTATCAAATTAGGTCTGTAGCTCATTTGTGGTGTAGATCAATCTCTCTGTGAAAGTGAGAAGTAAAAGGGAGGCAAAGAAAAATAGTACATCGATAAATGAGTGACCTGACTACTCCCTGGGAACAATGTCCCCAGAAGGGATCCATGCAATGCATAATGCACTGAGAGAAGATTACAGCACTGTATATCCCTCGTAGCCAATCTGGAGAAACGGACTGTGAGGACACGACTATTGTCTTGACTTGGATAGACATTGATTAACAATGCAATTACCCTGCAACATGCTCTGAGTCTGAAACTCAATCTAAGCTGCAGTGTGATGTGCTCCAGGGTAAGAGGAGGGCTCTGTGGTAGCTGTGTGCGAGTGAACGTGCATGCAGCTGCGTGCATCTACTGATGTCTGTTTGGGACACAGACTCGTGAGCTGGACCAGGCCAAATCATTGGCTGTTTGGACCACAGTCCTCCAGGCTGCTTTGTTCCACCGTTCCACTGGCTCCTGGGGAGCCAAGACAAGCCAGGAAACAAACAGACGCTGCATACCTGTGGATGGTCATAGATCAATAGCAGCACAAGGGACAAGAGTCTCAAATACTCTGAGTAGCAAAGAGAAGCTTTCTGTGTTAGCAATGCAAAGATAAACACAAAGTGTGACCACTTGTCCAAAGTGTGTTCTTCATACTGCTTTGCTTTGGTGATGTTATTCCGAATACTCACTGATAATCAATAGGTGGTTATGGTACAAATCAAGTTGTTAAGAATTATATAGGTGCTTATTCTAGTGAGGTGTGTGTCTGTGTAATGTAAAGATGCAACGTTTTAGCCAACTGAAGGTTACCAATGTAAAGACTGAACCAACAAAACCCAGAGAGGCTTCACCAGTTGGTGAATATAGTTAAATCATAAAATACTGATATATTCCTGTTCATTAAAAAGTAGAGTCCGTGCAAACCTGGGTAATAATGAGTTAAGGAGTTAAGGAGGAACTGCGTGTAATCAAACCACAGGCGCTATGTCAGGTCACAGCAAAGTCTTTTTGAAATTTTTTATTAGAATTCTCACGTTTGCCTGTAATGCTTAGTCCCCTCAAGACGCCGCTGTTCCCCTTGCTTCCCTGCCGGCCTCAGCTGAGCAGCCATTTTGAGGCTTTGTCATTAAGGAAAATTGGTTTCTAAGCCCATCAGCTGCGAACCAGAGTCATGGATATGACACAGCTCTGCAGTCAAGTGCTGCAGTGCCATACTTTGCAGGATTAGTGTAAATCTCACCTGTGATACGGACATCTAGAGACTCTAGCCTTTTTTTCTAAATGCAATGTCACTGGCAACGTCTTTTTGGATTACATCTGCATGGCTTCACCAGCTTGTTTAGAAAAAAATAACCAAACTCTTCATGATCTGCCCTGCAAATGTGTTGGGGTGGATAAACAAAAACTCATCCTTTCACAAATGCAGGGCAACCACCTACGCCTCCAGAAACACTGCCCCGTCGGTCAGTAACTATGAGGCATTACACTGAAGACAACACGGCCAGTGAAGTTTTTCTGCTGGTCAAACAAGAGCTCCTTTGTTTGATCTGAGCTGCTAAACCATCTGGGCAAACTGTGACTAAAGTGCCTTTGAGCGGCAGTTGGGTTGGGACGGCTCTTCCTTTGGTTTGCTAGTTGTAACAGCCTTGCCGATTACTCTGCACTATGGTACCCGATTGTGGTGACATCGAGGCTGACCTTGGAGTCACCTCCCCCGCTGCCGCACTCTCCCTTGTCGTACCACCATTTGTTTTTCAATTTGTCCAAGAGGCCTTGCTCATTCAGTTTTAAAACTGCCAGGTTAACAGCATTTCTTGAAACGATAAAACATAACTTGTAAGAAAATGCACAGGTCCGTGAGAAATCTAATGCAAAGTAGGAATTATTCTAAGCATGGTTAAAATAGACGATGGCAGTGAGACCGCCACTGTCCAAAGGGGGCTTACGCACAGACTGCTTACTACCTGTTAATCAGAATGGTCTAGGATAGGACAAATTGTTTCAGAATTTAAGGAATATGGAGAGATAAGAAAGGCTCACATAATGTAGAGACAGCGTTAAATCTTGGAAAAGGTGGCATGAAGGATTACATAGTTTAGAACTGAAGTGTGCGGGATGGGGACACTTGTCATTGAGAAGAAAAGTAACAACAACAAACATCATGCAATTAACATTCGTCACAAGTGACAGCGCAGCTTTTAAAGGCTAAATTGAAAAACCATTGAACTGTTAAATTAAATGTGACAACACAACAGTCAGGTAGGACAGCACACAGGACAGAAGGAGAGATCGAAGGGGAGAAAAAGCAGCAGTAAGAAAGACATAAATATGAAATGACTGTTAGCTTTAGCCTTATTATCTGGATTAGATTCCTGTGCTACACAACGGCAGCTGTTAGTACATACACGGAAAACAATGAGGGTTACGGAATAACCTCAGTATCCAAGTACAGTGAAAAGCATACTACCGTTACCTCTTCGCCCACAAAACAACAAGAAGAGAAGAGAATGACAACAGGGGGACATCAGGGTAGGTGGAATACTATAACAACACGGGGGATATTGTTATATTATTCCACCCACCTTAATGCAGAGCCTTTGGGTGTCGCCACACCGTAGCCTTTCGAGTCGAGGTTCCCTCCCACTTTCATGGTGTCGCACGGCTTTCGCTGCTCGATGTACTCGTTCATGGTGGATTCGAGGAGAAAGGCAAACTTGCCCTTTGATTTTCGCACCCGGGCCACGCCATCAGGTGTGGTTTTAACAAAAACTGAGGGCTCGGCAGATTTCATGTATGACCACATCTTCTCATACACGGCTATTTTGGATCGCTGTGCAGAGGAGAGAAAAAGAGAAGTTGTTTAGAAATCCAGAATTATATCCGTGGGATGGATTTTGTAGGATCTTTGTGCTTCATGATCACATGATTTTAAACTGTCATAGGGAAGTATTTATAGACATCTGGGTAAGTAACTGTGTGATATCTTTAAATACTTCCAGGAAATATGGGGATGTATGTTTACATGATCATCAAGTACAAGAATTTGCAAAATCCATCGGTCCTCACCATCATAATTACACTATTCAAATATGTAACAACTCAAATTCACTGAATCTGTATGAGGATCACACATCACCCTTGAGTAATGCCATGCAAATTGAGTTTAGGAGGAAAATGTGGCATCCATGGAACTGTTATGCAAAAACATATCCTTAATAATCCATCTTTTGTGACAGTGAATTGCAGGTAATCATCTTTTTATTTAAAAACTTGCAGGGGATCTGTAACAGATAGTTGGAAATGAACTGCTAGAGCTTATTACAGTCATTCATTTCAATAAAGTGGTTAATGAAATCCCTCAAGTTTGATTCAGGATACTGTGTAGAAGAGATGGGAGAAGCAAACAACAAGAAAACCCATGAAAAGTGACGAAGGGGAGCATTTAGTGCCCGGGGTTAGGCTCTAGCAAAACTGCTCAAATCCGTGGGAGTGAGGCTCTATCCAAAATAGGCGTCAATTAAATTATTCAATGCTGCTGGATTTATTTTGGGGATGGCATGAAAAACATGCTGGTGTGATCTTGGTCAGGGTAGTGATTAGATATACTTACCAAGTGGTATTATGTGTCCTGAAGAGTAAACATAATAACATACCTTCTGCTCTGGTAAGGGCCAGAATAAAGGCTTTAAGAGCTCTACAGCAAAATAACAAGTTAGTGCCTGGAATATGAAAACATCTGTGTCTACACCTCTGTGTGTCAGATATGACTTTCATTTTATGAGTTTATTTTCCTTTTAGAACATCATGAACTATGCTGATATTTGTCTAGAAAAAGCAACAAGATTATTTTTTCACGACCAGATTATTTTGCCTGTCATAGCAAATAAAATAGAGCAATTCTGCATATATTGAGAAACATTATTCTAGTAGCTACTTTATATCCAACTGCAGTTATTTTACTTTATATCAATAGCCATATTTATGACATTTTGCAATTCAATTTCAGTATTCTTTTTTCTTATAAAACATATATTTGTAAATAAATGAGCTCTTTCTTAACAGTTTTTCAGATTTGAATTGGTGCAGTTAATACATGTCCAAAGTAATGTCAACGGAGGCTTCATCTTTGAGAAAGACACAATAACAGTAGCAGGAAATAACATATTGATCTTTGATAAATTACATAACACTGATAAACACAAAGCTGCTCTGATGTGTATTTCCTGATCGAAAAAATACAGAGTAATAATGTAAACATCTGGAGTATATATACTCCAGTTACATATAAATATTTCAATCAACCAAAGTGGATCCCTACACAGTTTCCATATCACACATCACACACATATCAGCAGTTTTACCAACAGAACCTGCAATGAAGATGCAACAGCACACAGGAATTAATGGTTTTAGTTCTTGACAGCAGCAATTAAGCTTTCTCTGCATTTGCCTGTCACCCTATCTTTTCCCACTTCTGTCTCCAGCAGTCAAATCAAAGTGATCTGGAGCCTATCCCAGCTGCAATTGTGTACACCCTGGACTGGTAGCCACTCCATCACAGGGTCACCACTGCACATGCACACCTCTTCCTAGAGTCAATTTAGAATCCCCAGTTGGAATCATCAGTTGGGTAAAGTGTCCACGGGGGCCCCTGCCCTGCAGTTTTTAAAGCTTTCACTTCTTCAACACACCTAATTCAGATGAAGTGGATCTCTTCAAAAGATTGACAGATTTTGAACAGAACTGCAAATGTTGCAGTGTATTCAATCAGGTGCGTTGAAGCAAGAAACATAAAAATCCTGCAGGACCCTTGAGGACCAGAGTTTGACACCACTATATTTTCTTTGTGAATGCCTCTATTTCAGCAAAATAAATCAGCCTTTTACTATATTCTGGCATTTCAACATAGGTTTACTTACTTAAAGACACAAGAGAATGTTGATTTTAAGGGCTCTTTGAAGGGGTTAGGTCATATAATTCATTTGTAGTGCTAAAAAGTAAGATTGATTATGATTTCTGAATTATAATCTCTAACATCCCTGATCTATTGGGTGACGCATAGCTGACTTGAAGGTTCCCATAGCAAATGCATTATCTATCCGCAATGTGTTTCTATTAATAAATAATTATTGAGAGTATCTCCTGTCATAAAAAACTAATCACTAACAATTCTCATCTTTCACTTCCTTCTCCTATCAAGCCCTCCTTTGTTTCTGTGTTCCTGATGCATCTCATAAACGGCAATTAACCAACCTTAATATCTGCTCTCTACCCTCTGGCGGATGCTTGATATTGTAATAGTTTATTGTAAATTGTTATCTAAAAAGCAACTGGTTTGCTTGTATCTTTTTAAGCCGCTTTGGATAAAAGCATCTGCTAAATGCATGCATGTAAATGTAAACAAGAGGCTGACTTTGACATCCTGAAAATACTTTACTGTCTTTATTCTGTTGTATAGCGTTGCAGAAATGTATCAGGCCAGTGGTGAGGGTACGATAAGACAGCAGCGCTACATAGATATAGAAATGGATTTGATGAATGTTCTCTGCTCAAATGAAAAAGATTGAGAATGGTGTAATAGCTATTCTATTGTTATGCAAATACATTAGATAGGGTGAGCAAGAAGCAGTTAGATGTAATGTTTTTGTCAACAATAATATTTTCTAGTGTCATCATGCAAATAACAGTTGTTTGGAGGATGTTTCTCAAAAGATGCAGGGCTCATCTAACCAGCAATGGAAAAACTCTGGAGGCCTCCTCAAGTGAGGAGAAAAGAATGAGTCTTGGCATTGATTAGTGCTGAGAAAGTGTGCTGCCTCTGTGCTTTATGGAGTCATTTTATTGGAGTCCATATCAAAGCAGGGACAGAATGCAACCAAAACCTAAATAGATTGATTCTACAGAAACTAAAGATCACAGCTAAGATGCTTCCAGCAGACATAGTGGAAGAAATCAAGATTCAAGAAACCTCCCCGCAGGGAAAAATACATATTTGATTACTGACTGGGCAACATGTATGGACTTACTAGCCGTGTGGGTTTGTGTGATAGAGTGTGTGTATGTGAGCTTGTCAGCACACATTAGGTCTGTCAGTAATCAGATGTCCTTCTCCCACGCGTCTCAGTTTGTCTGCTGCACATGAAGATGACACTTTTAGTATCAATACATCTGCAAATGTTCAATATAGATTTGATCTGAAAAGGATTTTGTTTCCTGACAACCAAGTATATAACTGTATACAGATAGTCATTTCACCAGAGTGGTAATCAACAGATCACTGACTGTCTCATCTCCTCTTGAAATGTTAACATCCTCATTGTTTTCTTTGGTAGTCATTTGAAATTCAATTAGGGGGCAAAGTCTGCGCAAGTCCATCAGCAATTAATAGACGATTTGTTGAGCAATTAAATTCTGGCATAAATAAAGCTTTGTACTTGAGGTCCTTCTTCACATCATATATTAGCCCTTTTAGAACATACTGCTGTATTCCAAATCAACCTTAAGCCCACAGTCAAGGCTTCATTTGTTATCCGTTGGAGAAAGTGAAAAGAAACATGATTCTATGTTGTATAATGTGCAACACCCCCCTCCACTCCCCCCCTTTTTACACACAGACACACACTCAAGCGCTCTGAAACAATCATAATATTGCTGTCTTCATAATGGAGCACTTCAATAGCTGAGCCTCCTACCTCAGCGACACGGTTACATCATCTGTGTAGGTGTTCAACCTGCAAATTTGCCTGAAACTGTGAGTTTCCTGCTGTCTTGTAATAGTCAGGAGGACAAACACGGGTCTGTTTTTCAAACCTTTTGACACAAAATGATCAATTAATAGGACTTGCCTTGAGCAAGAAGAGGAAAGCAGTCCTGTGGGCCCTTTCAGCTCTTTTCTTTTTTTGTGGTATCCACTAACTCTGAGAGAAAGATTTCCTCATATGATAAAATATGAAATGTTCGAACTTTACTGCTAGTACTTAAGCCTGGGATAATAACTAATGACGGTAGCTGTAAGACACTATTTTTATTTGCTGGAAATAAATCTTCATATTTGGTCTTGTGCCTTCTTTCATGTTCTCAGATGATGGCAGGAAAATATGTGTGTATGATTATTTTTTTTAAAGTTTGTTTGCTTGTTTTGCCACCTTTCCCTTTACACACCAAGTATTGTGATAAAAATCACAGCTCGCCAGAAGAAAAATGGTGGCGCCTGTGGTTTGTTAAAGCTGTTCTGTGATAACAGCTGAATGGAGATGACTGGATGCTATAAAAACGAAACAACAAACCATGACATAAAGGAGAACATTGAGAGAGCTTTTCATGTATTTACCACATCACATCATAATACTTAAGTACACGCTTCACTTCCATCTTTATTGGACAGTATTTCCAATAAAGTATTCTGGCATAAAAAGATCTTGTAAATCTTCGTTGTTATCTGCAGAAGACGACACTGCTTACACTAACTCAGGTTACTCTGCAGGTTTTTCTCTGCTGCGGTTATAAGTCTGACAACTGCCCTCTAAGTCAGACAGAATGACTTTGCAATTCTGCATTTGACAAAAATAATAAATCGCCAGGCAATTTAGCAATTGGAAATGTTTTGGTTCAGAATCTTCAACTCTTTCATTAAAATGTCGAAGAAGAGACAAGTGATTAAACTTTAAAGTCAGGCAAATTGACCTCTTCTTTCTAAATAACCACTTAATCTGTATTGATTCTGAGTTCCGCAACATTTCCAGACCTCTGCCCACTGCCCTTCGAACTGCAGCCTGTTTTTTATTCTCCCTCTGGCATCGCATGGCTGCTTTCATTACAGCCTCTCCCACATATGCTCCACTGCTTGTGCATCTAAAGGCCATCTCTGAACACACCACTGCTACATTTCATTCGGCTTGAATTCCGTTCCATTTTGTTTGTAGACATCACCACTTCCGTCCAATATCCTGTGTGCCGGGACTACCTGTATCTCAAGTATGCAGAGATGAAAGTTGAGGCTCTTGGGAGGCACTTCATCGCCGAAGTACCACATGCTACACCCTGAATACCAATGGCTTGTCTTTGAGGCTCGTTGCTGGACTCCTGTGGCTCCTCATTGCCGGCCGCTGCTCATCTTAACATCGATGAGGCCTTCTGAGCTCAGAGGTTTTCCTCAGGGGTTACGCCTATCTTGCGGTATGCTCTTTTGTCAGCTTTCCCTTCATGCAAACAGGCTCTAATCTTTCTAGCAGCCTACCCTTTACTCAGTGCTGTATTGAAACACAAAGTGACAAGAGCTTTGGGAATTGTGTTACAATGCACTGCATTTGATTGCAAGGTAACCTAAGGATTTCTCATATAAATCTTCTCGCTTGCTCCTCTTCATGCAACCCTGCTTTAATGCAGGTCTGCTCTGCATAAAGAGCTACTTATTAAACATTGTGTCAGACCATCCTGAAGCGATAGTGTGCGCCACAATAGCTGAGACGTGAAATTGATTTTCATGCTTAGTAAAATGTATTGGTGGCTGCACCCAAGCTGTTGTCCCCCATCTCCACCACACCTGCAGATCAGTAAGATGTATGATGGTTGCTGTTGAGGCTTTGGGTAATATATAATCTTTTGTAGAGAGGAGAAAAGTATGTTGTGGTCTCATTTCTCAGTGCAATTATCATTCTTTCATTGTTACGCTGTTAAATGAGGTGCATGAAGGGATAGCAGTGTGGTTGTCTTTGATGGTCTCACCTCAGTCTTTACACGTAATTAAGCAACCACATAAGCTCATTTTATCATCCTACGCTATTATTCTGATCCTGCCTCTCCAGAAATGTACATCTCAAAATGCTACTGGGCCGAGATGTTGAATGAAACAAACCTCATCAAGAGGCTAAAAATGGCCTCAGTGGTACAACTCATCATTTTCTAATCATCCAAAACGCAAATATTCAACCGACTGCATGAAAAGATTGAAACGACTGGAATTAGTGATTAAATAAACCACAATGGTTCAGTGGCGTATGACAGCTGCAATGCTGAGGAAGAGCAACGAGATCCTTGAAGCCGTTCCGTATTGTCTCCGAGTAAAGCAACAGACAGGCTTAAGGACTGAGGAAAGAAAGGTGTCCAAACAAGCAGGGTAGTCTGGGGAACAGGAGCCAAGAGCTGGTAGAAAGTCCCTGCCAAATGCCTAGAGTGATGCAGTTTCCACTGGGCTCGTCAGCCCACTCCCAGGCCAGCTGTCCTAGTTGGTTGTGTGCATCAGAATCTGGGCTCTCTGGGGTAGCTACACTAACTCTGATCACTTTGAAAATTACTTTACAACTTCATAAACAAAATGGCAAATCTGCAATAGAATTTCTGAAAAGTGTTGCAATAGTCAGTCAAAATCCAGACCTCAACTTGATTGAGATGCTTCAATGGAAGTAAAGAAATCTGTTCAATAATTATTAATCTTTGTGGTAGAAAGAAGCTGCAAGAGGCCGATTATAACATACGGAAATCCATTACGTTTTTTAAGTTTGTTTCTGTTTCTATAAGCTGTTGAATCATGGGATTTATTTTTTTTCACACATTGCTTATGCATATTGGCTCATGCTTTGGTAAATAATCTTAACATGATGTAATTTGTCACATTTTCTTGATCCTTTGAGGTTGCATACCAGATGTTTTTTTTTTTTTTCTTATGCCCCAGTAATGGTGAATGATAATCCTAAGAACCTTCACATTACTGCATGGTTTTCCTGTCAGGGAGCTTTGGAATACAAAACAGGTGAAAGCATCAAAAATCAAAGGGCCAACCACATCAGACATAATGATACATGACTGATTTAAAACACTGGAAATGTATGTAGATACATTTATTTCCAGCTGTTTGACACCATATGGGTCTAATTAAACCTGAACGTAATTTTTGAAAAGCAGATCTGAAATAGAACTTGAACTTCTATTAATCAGTGTGTTTTTTTTTTTGTCGGCCCGCTATAGCTTTAATTAAAAGTCCCCTGGTATAGCAGCTCACGCGTGTCACTTTCCATTTGAAGGCTTAGGGGTGTAACGAGAACACTCATTATACAGAGTACAGTAAAACCTGACTCTTCTACCAATTTGCAGATTGCTGTGCCACACTGCAGACTTTCCACTGTCAGGCGTGAAAACCTAATCTGCTCCCAGCATCCATCGAATCAGTGACACAAAAACACACTGTACAGTGTGTTCACCTCTGCAGCATCTCTGATAAAAGGAAAAGCAATGACAAGCTTTGTGAGGTGTTATATGGAGAATAAAGTGAAGCTGTCATGTTTCCTTGAATATAAAGTGTTATCTTCACTGGATCCGGCCTTTTATAACAAGCCTCTGAGAGTTTACAGACTTGAAACAAAGGGATTTTAAGCTCAGCAGACACTATCTGGTCCTTTGTCTGAAAAATAAAACATGGATTTGATTCTGCATTTTGCTGTTGTGAGCAGTTCAACCCAGGGGTAACTCAAATGAAGTGCTCTCTCTGCCAACAGGCTGCAGCTGTGAAACATATGAATTGTTTCTCTCCCGCTGATGAGTAATAAGGCAGCGTTAGATAAAAGACTGTCACATGGCCTTTTCGTCGTCATAGGAGGAATGGTGTTTTATTAATTCGTTTTCAACACTGGATATCGCTATTGTGGCCACGCCATGAGCTAAAACTTCTATGGATCTCACAGCAGAAGGCTGATCGCTGTAACGATGTGCAGCACTGTTTAATCTCCGTATTGTGAGCATGTGGCTCCCTCTCAGAGACTAATAAACTTTCGCCTCGGATTGTAGTTAATTTATAACTTAATTGCCAGTTTAGTCCCACATGCCAGCAGACATATTGCTTATTCCTTCGAAAATGTCTTTCAGGCTGCTCTGTTTGACCTAGGGGGCTCTTCTTCATCAGGTCCAATTTGCCAGCCTCAACTGGCTAGCTAATTATACTTCATGAACTGACCCTTCTGAGTTTGAGTCTGATGTCGGCGCTTTGATTAGCCTCCTTTTTTATCACCTCAGAGTCTTCCATGTTGTTATCACGCTTTCTGCTGACAGCTCTTGTGCCTCAAGGTTGCACACTGAAGGTTGCACACTCAATGCTGCTGCATAAAGTTGACATCCAAGTCACAAGAGTTCAAGAGCTGCTTCTATTTCCGCATGCCTCATTTTGAGCAATCATTCTCATAGTAATATGCTGAAGGTTTAAAAAAAAAGGGAAAAGCTCAAATAAGGAGTTTATGAAACAAGTTAACTGGAAAAAGATTGCAATTCAATTTGCATTATTTACCATTTCAGTTCAAATAAAAGCAGCAACTTCCTTAACATGGGAATTCCAGTATTCCAACGCTACTCACCCTAAAAAACTCTTTTGTGGAGCCTGAGTCCAGAGTGCCGTATGCGATCTCTGTCTGCTTTGCCAAGTCTTCAGCACTTTCTATGGGTGACACCATTCTTTCAACTGTCAAGAAGGCAGCCAGGTTGGCTGTGTAGGAGGAGATGATGATGAGGGTGAAGAACCACCACACACCGCCGACGATACGACCTGACAGTGACCTATAGAGATAAGGCGATGTCAAGGAAAACAGAATCATGTAATCATAGCGACACATGGAACCTATCGAGCTACCAAAGTCTGGCGTGTGTATTCAATGTATGGACATCTGAAGAATTTCTTTGTTAATTCTTAAAAGAAACTGACACTGCATCAGAACTCTACAATTGCACACTTCCAAAGAGAGCGTTACAAGTTGTTTGAATGTCCTCTGATCTAAGTTGTTAATTGGCCGTGAAACAACCAGTCCAAGTTTATTTAATAGCTTGATGAAAGTTTAGATGGAATCGTTGAGTTCATTCAGACAGTGTCTAATTCAGACAGTCAAATAATGAAGTCCAAAAGAGTTCCATATGTTTTCTTTTGTATTTGATTCTGCCCTGCTGTTCACTCCTTGTGTTGTTTGGAGAGCACCCACCTGGGAGAGATGTCACAGCCCTGCTGCATGAAGGCGCCCAGAGAGAACCAGAGGGAATTGAAGATACCAAAGTCATTGGGAGGATCAGGGGGAGTTTGGGGGTCTTTGGTCTCGTCCTGCTCTTCTAGATTCCACTCATAAGGACTGAATCGACTGACCAGGAACAGGACCACGCTCACCCCAATATAGGCAAACACTATACACATCCAGATTTCGTAGGCCAGCGGGTCCAGGAAGGAGAAAACACCAGGCTTGGACTTTTGCGGCTTCTTTATCATAATGGAGATCCCCAAGCTCATAAAAGGCTTGGAAAAGTCTATCACCTCCTCTCGAACCAGAGTAATGGTGAGAGGTGCAACAGCTATATCTGCTCTCTGGAAACAGGGACATGCACAGCAAGCATTAGTCATGACATGGATTGAGAAAATAGGTCATTTCATCAGTCAGTGACTGGAGCTGTTTTTATCACAAAGTTTACTTATGATTTTAGGCAATAAACCACCAGCTGCTACATTTGAAGAGGAGCTGAAAAGAAAGAGGATTTGCACAGGAAAAGAAAAGTTACTGTGACTTTAGCTAATATTTCTGGGTTATACGTCAAAGTTTCACATTGAAATGTTACAACATTTAGATGTAGAAGGGAGTAAACACAGGTTTTAGAGAGGCAGCTTGGAAACACTCCAAATAGACAGAAGGGTTTTTGAGTCATGCTTGAGTAAATGAGACACAGAGGGGGAGAAAACTCCTCATAGTTTCATATAAACACTCAAATGAATTCTTTGCCTTGAACATAAAAAGAAAAATGTGATAAATGGCTGTGACTTATTAAAAGTATTAACTTTTGATTGCAGAATGTAAGGGCAGTGCTGTATATAGTAGTGAGCAAACCCCGTCTGCGCACACTTTATCACATGCCATTCAACTCTGGGTTTCCCAAACACAGCTTTTTCTGGCATGGCTCCTTTTTTCACAAGCTGTTTCTCTTTATCTTTCTCCTTTGCTCTGCTACTTCAATCACATTATGCTATCAAAACACATCCATGGAGGTGGTGCTGCCTTTCTAGAAATCACAATGGGTTTCTCTGTAAAAGCAGAAGAAAATAATTCATCATGTTAGACAGAGTTACTGCAGCCTGCGTGTATGCGATTAATTAAATAATGCTCCTCTTCAAAGGAGCCACTGCGCCGAGGACAATGCTTTGTATTGTTTTATTATGCTGTGTTTGTCTTTTTTGTGTTGAGATTGAGAAAAAAAAAACGCATAGAAAGCAGCATAAGGCAGAGAATGTTTCGTACAAGGTCAAAGTAGGAGCGACACAAATGGAGCCAATAAACACGACTGTTTTCTTTACCCTGTCAACACAACGCTGTGAAGGGCTATAACCATTTAATTCTTGTGCAGGCGTAAGCAACGCTCAATCAATGGCGAGGGAAACAAAGCAATAAAGAGCAGCCTCGGGCCTAACCTTTATAAAACAACTAAAATCAAATTAATTTACTGGTCAAAAGGTCAAAGCGTACAACACTATTAGTGCCGGCCTACCTGCTGTAAAGTTACAGACCAGGAAAGACCTGACAGAGATTTGATGAGAACGTCTTTTTTTCCCACCTCCCATCTGCGGGAGGTGGATTTTTCCCATTTAAAAGATAATTTGCTGGCGATAACACATCAAACCAAGCAATCTCTCAGGCTGATAGTTAGGATATTGAACAAGTGAAGAAGCCTAACCTTCATGCATTAGCCCCTTTTCAACTCTTGAGCAATTGGAGAAAGGTGACTGGGGGGAAGAGGAGGGGGAAAGGGACGCAGGTGTTGGGGATAATTTTGGAAATTCCAAGAGTATTGTGAGAGTGCTCTATCTGATGTAAACCATGGCGTGACCCCCTTCGCTAATGTGAAAGGTTCAACTTTTGTGGAGCACAACACATATGGATCTAGTTGCTTCAAACCACAAACCATCATTTAGCTGTTGATTCTAAAGCACATTTTCTCAGCTGTGAACGTGGCATATTCATCAAACGCATGAAACATTGAACATAATTACACAATCACTTCAAAGGCATACAATCTTTCATTCATCAAAGTGATTACAGTGTGTTTGCCATATGGAGTCATTGTTTTCATGTACCTACCTCTGTTTCGACTGAAAGAGAGAGAGCTTTTTTCTAGGCTAAGCAAGAAGGATTAAATGCAATGAACAGCACTGAGAAATGATTTCATTTTCTCCGTCTCAAGGTGATCACCAACTCCCCAATGCTTGAGGCTGCATTTGACAAACTCAATCACAGCTGAGTTTCCTGAGACAGCGTCAGACTTTGAACCAGGCAAGAGCTAATGAGTTCACGACGGGTTGGTGATAACCTTAAGACAGAAAAATGAAATCTCCTCTCATGTTGAAGTTCCTTGCAAACTGTCATGTAATTAGCGAAATCGAGACTCCCAGTACTCACCCCATAGACCAGTTCACCCACCATCCCGTTCCACGTCTTGGTCTCAGGGTCTCGGGCGCCGTACTTTCCATCCATTACTATAGACAGTTTGTACTTAATTCCAACATGTTTGGCAATCTCAGATGCTAAATCGACGCAGTAGCCTTCATATCTGTCATTCCCCTCCAGATGCACATAATTTTTCTTGTACATCACATAAGGAGCTTCCTGTTGATTCAAACACACGCTGTTTATTCACTCCCATGCCCTTGAACAGAATTATTTTATATAGAACTATGCATACATGCATTTGTAAGTGTTCATGCCCAAACTCATCCACACAAACAAAAAGTATTTGAATAACTTCAAACAACACAAATATCTTCTTGATTTGTTTTTCTCTGAACTTTCTCCACCCTGCTCCATCCTAACTCAATCCCTAACTCAAACTAATTCCTAGTGCTTGGTTAATTCTTAGCTAATTCTTTCAGTCTGTGAGTCTTGCGCCTATAAAAAAAAGCTTGTGATCTGAATTGGTTGTGAGAGCCATTGCATGTGAATTGCAAAATGGAAGTCATGAAGGTAACTTTACATAAAGATTACTAAAAGAATATATTTCAGCCCTTGTCATGATCTTTTATTAACATCAGCCAACTTTTATTTGTGGTCTTTACTGGAAAATTTGATGGCTGCTCTTAAATGGAAATGCTCAAACCGGATTCCAACATTCAGATAAGGCAATCTGAAGTGTGGGGTTTGTAGTCAGAAAAAGAAAAGTTTTGCTTTGACTTATTCTTTTACTAAATTCAACGAGTTGAAACTGGGATGTTTCCATAAGCAAAAGGGCTCACTCTGATTGGCTGTTCACCATAGTAAATGATTTCATGCAAAAGGAAGTGGCGGAACAGAAGGCAAATGTCTGATTAAAGTATTACACACTGTTCTCAGTTTTTTTTATTACTCCTAAACAAGAAAAATATTTCACAACAACACGGCCATGTTGTTTGGGAAAATAAGAAGACTTAGGTAGTCATGCTTCAAGGGAAAATGGCTCAGAGTGATAAAACACAAAGCAACCACTGTCTGTTTATTTCAGTTTTTCTAGACTTATGAGCTCTTATGGTGTTTCTTGTTGCTTCCCTTTTACACATGTATATTATGTCTTTGAGGACATGCACATTTGATGTATTCTGGCCAGCGATTTAGAAGTTTGTGCTGTGTTTTGGGGCTGTTTTGTTTAATAGACACTGGCAAATTGAGCAGTCAGGGCTCTGTTATTTAGTCTGGCTGTTCACTTGTTTGGTGCATTAGAGATATTAAAAAAAGATCATGATTTAGATTAAAATAACTCTTTTTATTATGCTATGGCTTCATATAAAAAAAAAAAAAGCATAATCAAAATGCAGTGATGCCAAGAATGCTGGGTGTGTGACAATCTAGGAGGAATAATTGTCTTTAATATCCTAATTGTAAAGCAGTGTAAACTTTAAAGATTCAATTCAAGAGTATTTTATTTTTGTCCCCATAAGGCGCCTCTCATAATGTGAAGAGTTAGTAGTTAATACACACCCACTCAAGCACACACACACTCAAAATGTTTTTTAGCTGCTAAAACAACATGCATGCAGCCGTGCATACACAGATGACGCCCTGCAAATGCACATATATGCACTGATAAGAGCAGCATAATCGTGTGGTCACACTGCTCCCATCGAGCTGTGGCAGCCAGCAGACACCAAGCGTATCTCCAACCCATTCTGAGCCCGTGGGTGCAACTCTGCGCTATAGTCAAAAAAGGTTTAGGGAGAAGGAAGAATAATGTTCACTCTCACTTCTCCCGAAAAACACCATAGGCCACAGTGCGCTTTCTTAGGGTTGGGTGGGCAAGGTGTTGGTCAGCTCAGAGGTGTGTGGGAATGGGAATGGGGATGGGTTTCACAAGTAAATGTCAGTGACAAGAAAGGGATCAGAGAGCGCCCTTAGTATCTCAACATATTCAAGCACGTTGGACCAATTTGCAGGTAAAGGCTGTTTCATTCCAAAAGAACAAAAAGACAAAAAAATAACTGTTACTTGCTATCCAGAGTAATGCAAACCAAAATATTTCCATACCATAAATAATTACAACAGGAGAGCAGGAGCGTGCCAGAGTTACTCTCCTTTTTCCAAAGGCTGCTGCAGCCCATCTTTTCTCATACTGAGCACATCATCATTATCAAACAATAGGAATGCTCAGGAGAGAAGGCATTGTCATTACAGCCACACACAATTAGAGTGCAAGTAGGAGAGCAATGGTTTGTTTGTTCTGTGCTGAATGTATCCCCTCACCTTGAATCCATTGAGTTTCTCCCCCCAGTTAACATGTGTTTACTTACTGACTGTATTTCTCATTTAGAAATGTTAAACGTTTCCGCTTGCAATTAGGCGCCACTGGTTTATACAAAGGAAATCTAGCTGTGCATTTGTTCCAGAGACGCTTATTAGTTTCTGGATAGTTTTCTTCATCATTTCAAAATGATTATGCAAAGAAAGGGCTACTGCATGCAGGATATCGTTGCACCATACTGCAGGCGGTTAATGCATATGCAATATGCGCCGTCTGCTGAGCTTGAAACATCTAGTTGGGTAAATACAGTAAAAACAGCAAATACATTTTAAACAGGTTGCATGTTTACCACAATGCGGCCAGGAAGAAAGCGGGCAAAATGATTCTCCTCTAAAGCTTTGAAGGGCAATTATGTTTACTTCAACACAGAACACATGGAGGAGCAATTCAAAATAGTTTGGAGAAGGGATGACAAAGAAAATGATCGCCTCCTCCAATGGTATTCATTTTGAATTGCCCAGCTTGTAAAACCCTTACAAGCACCATTCTCTAGTCATTCTGAAGCCAGTCTGTCCCAAGTGTCATTGAACATTTACTTGATGAGGACAGACAGGTCTACTTACGTATGCGTTTGTATGCTTTTTGTTATTGATGGGGTTAACCATTATAACTTATACCATTTATTGTGATGTCACTGCTACGACAGGCCACTGAAATATGGAAAATTAAAATGCTTTGGCACCCACACGGATACAGTTGAAACACTCCCCCGTTTCAGACCGACTGTTTCAACATGTAGTGAGTGGATGGAAAGCAACACAAAAAAGATGTGGTTCTACCCGCCCAGGACAGAATGTATCACTCATTAGATTCAACACCATGACCTTGAGTGGCAGAATACGTGACACATTTAAAACTGCATGGAAAGTGTACCATAATAGTAGTGACCACAATGGTTCGGTTTTCCACTGAGGAGTCGTTGGAGACCTGCGGGTCCATAATATTTACAAATCGCGAGTACTCGTTCCAGTACCCAATCTGCAAGGACGAAAAGAGAAGTTAGTAATGCATTCCGACATGCTGACAAGAATAAATGACAGCATTAAGAAAGGAAAGATATCACTGGCGACTGCTGTGACGCAGACTCATTAAACAATCCCGCATTTCCCAGAGGTCTGCTGCCTCTGCCTTGAGGTTTAATTTAAAGAACAAAAAAGCAGAGTTCCAATGCTTTATGGACATTCCCCAGTAACCCAAGCAGAGAGTGCATATGTTTTGGGGTTTTATGTTTTTGTGGAGCTGCATTGCTCCTGTGTACTATACGAGCATATGGCCTGCAAGCCCAATCCCTCCCACCTTCAGCTTCCCAGGTTTTATGTTAAATTATTGATACTGAGGTCTGTGAACTGCATATACAATCAATAATTAAGCATAATATTCCAGCAGCTGCACATTTTCTCCAGCACAGGCCTGCCGTTGCATTTAGTCTGTATTCTGCTCTACAGATGCTTAAGTCAAACTACTGTCAAGTGTTTGTTTGCCCATCTGAAATAATGGCTGCTCTGGCTCATGATGAAACATGTTGCACATGTTGTTGCCAACAGTCTAACTGTTGCTGGCTAAGAGTTTCCCCCTTCACATCTGCTCGACATTTCGTTTGCCTCAGATCTTTCGGTGATTGGGGCAAACAGGTGTATGACATTGCATTAAGTTTAGGCACCGAGAGGAGGTGCTGGAAAGCAGCAAAACGTTTGAAAATCCATCCACAAGTCGGGGGGAGTTGGAGCCTATCCCAGCCGTCGTCAGGCCAGAGGAAGGGTACAGCCCGGACAGGTCCCTTTTAAGATAGATCCAAAGTGCGGTTACAGTTGTGCAAGTAGTTAGAGCACTTGACAAACCATGAAAAGATCTTAAATGTTTTTTTTTTTCCCCCCACAACTCTTGTCTGACAGTGATATCTGTGAGGTGCTGCTTGTGAGACATAACTGCTGAGACCTGTGTCATGCAGTGCTGCTCCAGAGGCGACGTCCTGGTCTCACCCCAAGCAGCTGGGACAGATATCAGCCCATACATCACTCGTGACAGTCACAGCTAAGAAGACTCATCCTCTAGCTGTCACTGGGTGGCTGTGGCTGCAGGTCCTGACAAAGTGCTGCCCGTCTTGTCTCATCTTCCTTCATTCTCTCGCTCTCCCTCACTGACCTCCTTTATCCCACAATCGCCATCCATCTCCCCGCTCCCCCCCCCCCCCCCCCCCCCCTTTCTCCCCCCAGGGGCCCCCCCCCCCCCCCCCCCCCCCCCCCCCCCTCTTCTCTGTTCAGCTGTGAGGAGATGACTGTGAGGGCTATGCAATGCTAATTGAAGTGTGAGTTTTAGATGCCTGTGAGGCAGGCAGCATGAACACACATCATATCAGATTGAGTCCACACTTATCCAGCTAAAGAGAAATTCACAGCTGTCTCTTGGAACAACATGAGGTTATGAAATAAAACCAGAGGTCATCATATGGTGCTGCTTGTGATGTGAGTATTCCATTGGGAATTGCCATTTTGAAGAAGAGCCAGAGGAATTCTTGGATACCCTTTAAAGTAATTGGTTATTGGAATAGTAATCATTGTCAGGAGAAGACTAAAATCATATCTGCACTATCTCACAGCTAGAGAAAATTATTATTTTGGCAGTGATATTGCAGACGCTGTGTTATTTGAGGACCTTGTAATGCTTGGCTTTAGCTCTCAGGCGCTGCTACCAAACAAATGAAAGAAATGCAATCAGCATTACCATGAGCTGACCTTTAGACCCCCACACAGGCTGTATAGAAAAGATGGTTGTGGCCACTGTTATACTTTTAAGCAGCTGAATTCTCATGGCATTTGAAATATCTTGACCCTTGCTTCAAGCTGTCCATTTAAGGCCAGACAATAGGTTAGACAAAGGGCTCTTATACAGCAGACCGACATCAAACGCCAACAGCAATGAAAGGACCCCCCTGCTGTTCCTCAGCAAGGTGTGCGGGAAACATTTAGCGCAATTTTGTTTCACACCCAAGAGGCAGCATTTGATTTATATCTACCAAATCCTATCCGTTGTTTTGTTGTTTTGTTTCTACGTTATTTTATTAAGTATTTAATCACTCTGCATGGAGTAATAAGACAGTTAATGTCACATTACCATACTACAGCTTATTAGCTACTTAAGCAGCCATTCAGAGTGGTCTCTCTCAATGACAGACCAAAGGGGATCAATGGTGTCTGAGTGAGAGCACAGAAAAGACAAGAGACAGACGCTCAGATGTTCCCGCCAGGTGACTGTGAACCCAGTGCTTATCAATGATTAGCCCCGGCAGCCGTAACTTTGACGTGAGATAAAGACACGTATTGCAAGTGAGAGTCAGACAACATGAGAGCTTCTCCTGATGGCCGTGAGACAGAATGCAGCTGAGTCTTCATAGAAGGATCCTTTTGAAAAATAAATCTGTGAAATCCCTCATCATTATGAGGGATCACTTTTTTGGGGTGTTCTGTTGAGAGCTGGTAAAAGTCTTACCTTCCTCGGCCCACCTGTTTTCATCTCATAAACATCTATAGTGTAATTGGTCCTGCGGCCGTAGTTGTCAAACTGGATGTTCCCGGTCATACCCTGCACTTGGACCTGATGGACAGGTAGACACAGGGGATTGTGAGACAGCCGATTATTTGCATATTCAGCTTATATGGAGGGATTCGTGTCCACTGAGTTTCTGGAGTGCACTCTGTCTGTTAATCAAGTGATGAACTGGATATGCTTTAATAAAAAAATCTAGTTTTATGGTAATGAAGGCATGGATTTGAATGAATCTCTGTACAGAGATATCTGGAGGCAGAAAGTGGAGAATAGCTCTGCACTTGCCTCCCCCCCCCTTTCTCTCTGTCACTTCCCATCTTTATCTCAACCGCTTGCTATCTCTGCTTCACTTCTCTTTGCCTTTTCTTTTGGGTTTCCGCCTGCACCCTTCCATTACGTCTTACCGTTTTCAGAGCTCTTTCGATGTCTATGCCCTGGCTCCAAGGTACAGCGGGGTTGGCGAGACAGTCTCCGGCGCTGCCTCGGCGAGACACATCCACACGCTGGCGCCGGAGGTACCTGAAGGCCTCCGCTATCACGAGGATGGCATCGTGGGTCAAAGCCGAAGTGTACTGTGCAAAAAACAAAACACACAGTGAGAGGCAGACAAATCATTAGCAGGGAAAAGTGGCAATAAGAATGTTTTTTTTTTGTCATTAAGCTGTCAGAGTAAAAGCATTTTGGAGAAAGTGAGGCAGTGTATGTTTTGCTCTCCTTCCAGCGCTGCTCAATGCCTCCAGGTCTTTGCGGGTGGAGTAGATGCACATTTTGACACTTTGATTGTAAGAAAGCCAGTTTTGTTGGACAGATTTGATTTAATAATGCAAGGACTTGTCAAAGGGTTAGGACTGCCAAAACCTTAGCACAGAGTAGGGGAGGGAATAGTGAAACTGAGCATGATTTTATCTCTCAAACACTTCTCCTCCAACTTTTGACCACTCAGGGTTGAGCCACTGTTGACCACTGCACCATGGGAAAATCTAATTAAAAGGCATTCAAAATCCATTTCTTCCTTGATCATTGTTTAATTAGATGTAAATTGAAGCTGCTTTATAACCTTGGCACACACTGCCTATCAATATATTGATTGCTCTGAGAGCTCCAAAGCAAAGGCAGCATAGGAAGCAAAGGGTGGGAGGACGAGAGAATGACAAAGGCAAACAGGGGACGACGGGGGGAAGAACTGATAGAGAGAACTTCAGAAGGTTTGATCGCTGCATTCTGCAGGCACATTATGAGGCCGTTCAGAGCCTGGTACCTTCAGAGGAGCGTTCCGAGCTTCTGGGAATTCTCTTTCATCTAGTCGCTCCCAGCGTTGCATGAACTGCTGCACAATCGTATTTTCAGGATTGACTATCTGAAACCCTGAAATATTGGCTCCACCGGCGAAGACTTTGTCCAGGCTCACGTTCGAAAATCCCTGAAATGAGACATAGGTGAAATGAGGGGGGACATTCATTTAACTTGTTTTTCTTTGAGGGATTTTGTTATAAAACGTGGGGCAAAGCACCAAAAAACGCGTACACAGGGACCATTTTAGTATGCAAAGGCAATTGTTTCTCTTTATGCTTCGTGGCATAACCTGAATTTATTTTAGATAAGCATCCAGCCAGAGTTTGTGTTGCATCCTGTAACAACAATGTAATCTGTCCGAACCAACTGGCCTGGTTTAATTCCCAGAACTAACAGTGTCAAATATATTTATAAAATTCACTCTACTCCAGCTGTGTTAAATTTCCCTTGTCACACGAGGGCCGAGAGAGTTCTTTCTTTTATGGTCAAATTGCTCTTTTTTTTTCAAGAGCAGCATTATTGTCATGGTGTACAGGGACATGTTTCTGGCTCTTGCATAATCACATCTTCTGAGGCCAGAGAAACAGCAGCTTGTGATATGCAAGTGAGAACAGGGGAGGTCTTCACTTCCTAACCCTTATTCCAACATCAAGGCTAAATGAGAATTTCTCTCCACAGACTTTGGGGAAAGATGGTTGTCTTCTAAAGATGGTAAAAATGATAAGTTCAGTTTCTTTTTTATCTCACTTGTAGAATTCAATATGAGCATGTCCGTTTAAGAAAAAATGTTTTGTAAACAGACTGTAAAAGTGTGATTTACAAAGCATGAACATAAGAAAAATGTGTTTTTCTTCTTTCTCTTTTCATACAAAATCCCATAATCAATCCTTTGTGAATGCACATTTTTTTTCCGTCGCATGCAGCACAAAAAGCAGGTTCCACTCCCTGTCAGGGGAGGGCAACATTGTTATTACTCACCAGGTTGGCCAGAATGTAATGGTAACCACGACTGTTCTTTCCCAGGGTCACAACCTATGGCAGAAAACATCAATACTGTGAACCACCCATGAGATTAAAGCGAAGAGCTAATCTAAGTGCCTGCAACAATCTGTGTAAATGCGGTGATGACCCACAAGCACGCAGAATGACATAGAAATTTAAACAAAGCAAAGTGCTGTAATGGAATAACAAGGGGAAGGGAGCTGTTACAGCAAGTGTTCATTAAATTGGAAAATGATAATGAGAGAGAAACAGGAGCAACGTAGAACCTTCTCAAATATCCTGCTCCCTCCACAAGTTGGACGAAAGGAAAGATTGGAATATATTTCAAGAGAATTTACAGTCTGGTGCTGAGGTGTAGATCTCCCTATGCTTTGAAAATATCACACCTTTGGAGCAGAACAGCATGTTTCAACCCACGCAGCTTGTCTGAAAATAGTAAGTGGTTCTGGACTATTTCATCATTGTGATACAAACCATACGCCACCCTTTATTCTCCAGTTTATTCTTCATTTTGGTCTGCAGATAAACCCAGAAGAAAAATGTTAAACTGTCCTGGCTCTCTGTGCTATACATGCTGGACTTGGTTTTGGACTTGGCCTTGTGAGGCATGTTATTTATGAGTTTGCTGTCTGCTGTTTGCTGTCTGCTGCAGATGGACTTCTGAGTGGCTGCCATGCAGAAACCTGTCAACCATGTCTCGCTTTTCATCTGCGCTCTACAAACACAGCAACACAAGTTTACAGGAAAATCAGCATGTTTGCACATGTCCTGGCTCTGTCACTAAAACAAACTGTCAGTTTATAATCTGTGTGTGTGTGTGTGTGTTGGGCTTGGGACGTTCATTTTCAACATTTTAGCTGAGTAGTTGAGAGTGATGAAAAGCGCCTATCCTCACATATTAGGGTGCAAAAATCTCATTTCAGCAGCAATTACAACATTTAAATTTTTTCTTTTTTTTCCTAATTTCAAATTAATTTGTAGCATTGCTGTGTGAAAATGCCAAACAATGAAGCGGACATAAATTGCTAATAAAATGATCTTTTCACCTAATTGATTAAATGAAAGGGTTAACAAAGAATAACAGCACATAAGGAAGCACAACTAGTCAAACGATTCCATCATGCTTTCCTGATGGGTCAGCATTCACAGACAGCTAGCTCAACGGGTTTGAAAAGAACTAACAAATTATGACGTTTAAAGGGAACAAATCAAAAAGCTGAAATGATAAAAAAGAGGAATTTGAAACAATTATACTACAGAAATAGCAGGAGCTCGCTTTTAAAAATATAAATTTTGATTCAAATAATAAAATGACAAGCATTATGGATCTAATTTACTGTAACACCTTGACATGAGTAATCTGATTCTGAAACAGAGTCAAGTAATGGTTCATTATTAGGATTTTGGGCATAGAGCACTGTATATTCTACAGTAAAAACAACCAGCAGCTCCATGCTCCTTCACAGTGTGCTAACCTTGACTCAGTCCGTAAGCCTCCTAACACCTGCCCTGGAGCTGGGCAGAGAAAGAGCTCACCACCTGCTTGCAGCCTGCAGCCCACAGCCAGACTGGCAAGGGCTACAAGCACCAACCTTGGATGCAGCACAGCATGGAACTGATGACACAGAGATACACACAACCCCCAGCTAAAACACGCTAACCTTTCCCCAACCCCCGCTTACACGGATAGAATGAATTATTTCCATTTCGTACAACAGATGATATCAACCGCAACTTGTTTCGGGAATGACGGAGCATTAGCCGTCCTAATCTGTACACAGCCTATTTTTGTGCATGAGGAAATCCTATTGGACCTACACTTCCATTTTCAGTCTCTGTGATTTCATATGTGCCTCCATTTCCTTAGATGTCAGGGATGAACTGCCATCCAATTAGCCTCCGTTGACTAAGTCAGTGAACCAGATCTCATTCTTTTTTGATAACCAAATGAAAACGGCACTTTGCCACTGGAACCAGATTTAGGGACCAAATGGATGGTTTGGAATTGGGCTTTAATAACTTTTAATGGTGAAAAATGTTTGGGATTATGTATAGACATCGATGTGATCATATACTTAGTAAGGAAGTCTCAGTAATGAAGCTGAAGCTCAACAGGTTACAGTACAAATGAGTAGCATTATAAATATTTTGCTTCTTTGGTCCTGGCTTTAGAAGTCTTTTGTTGTTAAATTGATGTCTAAATTGGTCCTACATGTGCTATTGTTGTTTGTTATTTGAAGCTTAAATTGGAGAAAAAAAAAGATTGTCATAGCTCTTTCTCTTGGTCCATTTTGCAGGCTGGATTCAGTCAACATTTACTAACAACAACATATTTTTTCCATTAGCTTTCAAAATTCATTCGTACACCTTGCAACACCAACATCATCCATAATCCAAATTTTCACCGCCCTGGAGATCGATGCTACTGTTCATTAATTTCGCACACATGCTCACTGAGAAGCAGCTTCTGTTTTTTCCGCGTTACACTGTTGTTCCTGCACATCGATCCTCTGACTGGCTACACTGCCTTTTGATCCTCAGTGTGAGGAGATGGCACGGTCTGCAGACTGGCGTTTCCTTTAAAGCCGTGTGGGGACAGACAACCGGGATAACCTTGATTTCACCCTTATCCTCTCTTGGCATGCCTTAGACACAGAAAACGCTGAATGTAAAACTACTTTTTAACAAATGTTTTCCCCAAAGTATGACCTTTTCACTGCAGAGCTCGCCCCAACACAGGAAGTGGCAGATAGTAAAGGATTCCCAAGAGCTTGTAAATATCACAAAGGCATATGAAATAGGAACAAATAATGATGCAATTATTTTTTGAGCCTCAAACTGAACTATCAACACACACCTGCTCCAAACTGAGTTGCAGGGACCTTTTTGCATTGGGGCTTCATTATTTTCACACTTTGGTGGCGGGTGATCGTTAGGAGGTGGCTCCATTTTTTAATTGTATAAAACAACGACAACTAAAATAAAGCTGGGACGAGAAACAAGGAGGACGCAGTACAGCAGGGCACAGTCTCCATGGTAACCTGGTCAGATCATGCTAAGAACATGGTAGGAGATAATACTAAAATAGTAAAATATGCATGGGTGCAATTTTGAAGGTTGATTTAAGGATTCACAAGAAACTGTGAGCTGCCAAAAAGAAAGAAAATTATGCTAAGGATAAAAAGTTTTCTGACCAAATGATTGTTGGTTGCTTTAATGCCACCTCTGGGTGACTGGGATGGTTTTTCTATAGTGACTTATCCAAATGAGCCCATAATTCAATCTACTGAATTCTTTTTTTTTACATATTGAACATATTGTGGCAATGAGGCCCATAAGGCCCATAATCTTTTCTCTATCCTTCCAGAAAGAACAACAAACCCCAAATTAACAAAGTGGAATTGAAGAAACTAATTTGTACAATAAATTATACCATATACCAATTGTTTGATAAACTTAAATTCTCCAATTGGGCTCAGCTTCTAGAAAAAAGTAGTTGGTAAATTATCTACCAATGCATTATACTGGTACATTTGTAATTTGCTCAGTTCAAATAGTAACAATTTAAACAACATAAGATTTCCACATTACTTAGCATTATGTTATAGTTTATTTTTTGTTGCATCAATTTCCCAATCAAAGGTGCAAATGCTCACCACTTTTAAAAGAGCAGTGTCTGAGGCAGGGCTTCCATTCAAAACAGAAGCAAGATAGTTTCAATAAAGGACGCACTGACGGGTGAAATACGACAGAGAGGTCAGACAAAGTGAGCAACCTTTCCTTTCAGAAAGACTACACACCTTGCAATATAGTGAAAAGAGGAGAAAGAAAAACGAATGTTTGGCAGTTCAATGATCACCTTTTTACACCAAAGACAAAGAGGAAACACATTTGACCTGACTTTCTCTTTTCCAGTTTCGATTAGTGGCAATGCTTTTAGAAATCAAACATTCAACTGAACTGTTTTGAATTTGTCTGAAGATCATCCTTGAAAAATAGATGAATACTGGAGGCTTTCATCGTTTTTAAAAGCTTTTTCATTTCATTCACCATAAAAATTAGGAGGGTACTGTATGTGGTAATTATATAGATAGTATGGAATTCATACTAGACCCAGGACATTTA